CTATCTACTAACAGTTTTAACCTAAACAAACGTCTCCAACCACAGGTTCCTACGAGTTGGCAACAACAACAACAACCCCAGCCCTCGATAGATGCACCCCATCACGAGCATGTCATTTCTTCCATGGAAGTTTTCCTACCTTTATATGAATGACATTGCATTTCATTTACAATGTTTGTCCAGTCGGCAATTGACACCAAGTGCCCTCGACAACCATTCATTTTCAACTCTCTCTCTTGGAAGAATGTCACATATGTTCGAGATTCCTCCCTTGCTCCTAACTTTCTTATATTATGTTTTTCACATTGTCAACTACATTACCAATTCCAGCTCCCGGATAGCAAACCTTTAACTTGTTTCCCCTATCTCTGGCACAAAAAGTTCTATCCAAATACCTCACATGGGAATATCCCACAACCAAAATTCGCTTAGGTAATTTCTTCACTTTCTGAGCACTTTCTGAGCAGAATTCTGAGTACCTGTGCTCACTTCGTTGCGAGCGACGGGTAGGCTCTCTACAGCACTCGTCCTCCAACACTGCGAATGAGTTAGAAGTCTTTATGACATCTGTAGGCGGCCTTGTCAAAGTCTTCTTAAGACCCCTGTTCTTTACGACATTCCAGGACGACAACTCTCTACTGCTGCACTTCTCATTTGATTCTTCTTGACGTTTTTCCTGTCTTAGTTCCTGCATATGTACTCATCTAGTTGTGCTTGCGGTGGTTGAGCTCTGGCTCTTTGGTCCCGCCAAAGATCTGTCTGTCGTAGCTCCTCCCGCAGGGAATCCACCTCTGCCCTCAGAGCTCCACATAGCTTCCTCACCAGCACCAGTTCACTCACTACAACTACCATTTTCAGTATCAGGACAAGTGGAGCTCCAGCTACACACCCTCTCACTGCTAGGCGCAGGAAAGTCATCTGGAAATTTTGGAAAAACCAGAGTAAATACTGGTTCGATAATAGGGTTGTTCATTTGTGGAATCAATTACCGCATATTATAACAGAGTAGGATCCCTTGATTGTTTCAAGCGTAGGTTAGACATACATAGGAATGACAAATATATGATTAGACATAATATATGACATAATAATGATAATATTATGTCTAATATATGACAGATTAGACATATTTGAATCCATAACGGCTCTTGTGGATTTATTCTTATATATTGAGTTATATCCACCCTATAAATGAGTTAGGTTGGATATAAATAAGCACTGCCTCGCATGGGCCAATAGGCCTTTTGCAGTTACCTTCATAAGAACATAAGAACAAAGGTAACTGCAAAAGACCTATTGGCCCATACGAGGCAGCTCCAATCTTTAACCACCCAATCCCACTCATACTTGTCCAACCCGCGCTTGAAACAATCGAGGGACCCCACCTCCACCACGTTACGCGGTAATTGGTTCCACAAATCAACAACCCTGTTACCGAACCAGTATTTACCCAAGTCTTTCCTAAATCTAAACTTATCCAATTTATACCCATTGTTTCGTGTTCTCTCTTGAGTTGATACTTTTAATACCCTATTAATATCCCCTTTGTTATGTCCATTTATCCACTTGTAAACTTCTATCATGTCACCCCTAACTCTTCGTCTTTCCATGAATGCAATTTAAGCTTTATTAATCTTTCTTCATATGAAAGACTTCTAATTTGGGGAATTAACTTTGTCATCCGACGCTGGACACGTTCAAGTGAATTTATATCCATTCTATAGTACGGCGACCAAAACTGAACGGCATAATCTAAATGGGGCCTAACCAGAGCAAGATATAGCTGAAGAACCACACCAGGTGTCTTGTTACTAACGCTTCGATTAATAAATCCCAGTGTCTTATTCGCCTTATTACGAACATTCATGCATTGATCCTTTTGTTTTAAATTCTTACTAATCATAACTCCCAGATCCCTTTCGCAATCCGACTTCACAATCTCAACACCATCTAGCTCGTATCTTGCAACTCTACCATCATTACCTAGCCTCAAAACTTTACATTTACTAGCATTAAACTGCATCTGCCAGTCTTTTGACCATTTTAAAACCCTATTTAGAGCAACTTGAAGTGATAGCGAGTCTTCTTTCGTGTTGATTTCCCTACCGATTTTTGTATCATCGGCAAATTTGCAGATGTTGCTACTCAAACCTGAAACTAAATCATTTATATATAATATAAACAACAGAGGTCCCAGGACAGAGCCCTGAGGTACTCCACTAACAACATTATCCCACTCTGACTTAACCCCATTTATACTAACTCTCTGTTTCCTTTGGATTAGCCGTGCCCTAATCCAACTTAATATAGCACCCCGAATACCATGAGCTTCTATTTTTTTAATTAGTCTTGCATGTGGCACTGTATCAAAAGCTTTGCTAAAGTCAAGGTACACAACATCACAATCCTTACCACTATCAACTGACTCACCTATGTTGGAATAAAAAGTTAGCAAATTTGTTAAACATGAACGGCCATTTGTAAAACCATGTTGCGACTCATTTATTAATTTATGTTTTTCAAGATGGAGACGAATTGTATTTGCAATTATTGATTCAAGTAACTTTCCCACAATAGACGTTAGGCTAATTGGCCAATAGTTTGACGCAAGTGATCTATCTCCTTTCTTAAAAATTGGTACCACATTAGCTACCTTCCATGACTCTGGCACTCTGCCTGACTCTATTGATTTATTAAATATGGTAGACAGTGGCTCGGAAAGCTCCTCTTTGCATTCTTTAAGCACCCTGGCAAACACTTCATCCGGCCCTGGGGATTTGTTTGGTTTTAGTTTTACTAATTGTTTAATTACATCCTCCCTGGTAACTGCTAAACTAGTCAACCTGTCCTCATCCCCACCCACATACACTTGTTCGACTGAAGGCATATTGTTAATTTCCTCTTTAGTAAATACAGATACAAAATATTTGTTAAAAATACTACAAATCAGCTTTTCGAAAATCTGGCACTTTAACAGAATTTTGTCCTACAGGTCCATTCCATTCTACGCTAAATCTGATTTCTTTGTGATCACTCTTTCCTAGCTCACTCCCTATTCCGATGTCATTAATTTGTGTTTCCCTGTTAGTTAACACTAAATCTAAAATATTTTTTTCCCGCGTTGGTTCCTTAATGTGTTGCGTAAGAAAGCAATCGTCAATTAATTCTAGAAAATCTTCTGTTTCACTATTCCCTGTTCTGTTCAACCAGTTTATTCCACTAAAGTTAAAGTCACCCATGACATAAATACTGTTAGATCTAGATGCTCTAGATATTTCATCCCATAGATGCTTTGCTTCCATTCTGTCCAAATTTGGTGGCCTATATATAACTCCTATTATAATATTATTTGCTTTTTCGTTTAATTCTATCCAAATAGTTTCTGTGTGTGGCTAAGTTTTGATTCCCTCTTTGATACTACATTTCAAATTGCCCCTGACATATATGGCTACTCCATTTCCTCGTCTAATATATCTATCTGTGTGAAATAGTTTAAATCCATTTATTTGATATTCAGCTAATAGTTCTCTATTTTCTACATTCATCCAAGTTTCGGTATGTGCAATAATATCTATTTTTTCTGTGCAGACAAGAGAATTTAATTCGTTAATTTTATTTCTTAGACTTCTACTGTTAGTGTAATATACCCTAAGTGAATTGTTATTTTGAGGCCCTTTTCTTTTCTGATGATTTTGCCAATTCTTTTCTCCCACGAGCACATACTTCTATTACCTCCTTCCTCCAAATCAATTCCCATACCACTATCTACTAACAGTTTAAACCCAAACAAACACCTCTAATCACTGGTTCCAACGAGTTCGCAACAGCAACAACCCCAGCCCTCGATAGATGCACCCCATCACGAGCATACATTTCATTTCTTCCATAGAAGTGTTCCCAGTTGTCTATGAAAGATATTGCATTTGATTTGCAACATCTTTCCAGCCGGCACTTGACACCAAGTGCCCTCGACATCCATTTATTACCCACTCCCTTTCTTGGAAGAATGCCACATATGATCGGGATTCCTCCCTTGCTCCTAACTAATTCACTGGCTGTCCTGAATCTCTGTATTAGTTCCTCACTCCTAACTCGTCCAACATCATTACCACCTGCACTAATACAAATAATGGGTTTGTTCCCATTTCCCGTCATAATATCATTCATGTTTCCAACAATATCACCAATTCCAGCTCCCGGATAGCAAACCATTAATCTGTTCCCCCTATCTCTGGCACAAAACGTTCTGTCTAAATACCTCACCTCACTTCATTCTTATGTTGAACTAGCTGTCCCCGGCCACGCGTTGCTGTTGCCGTTGACAGCCACAACAACGTCCCAGGAAAGAGCCTTGAGGCACTCCACTTACAACATTTTCCCAGTCTAACTTAACCCCATTTATACTAACTTCTTGCTTCCTTTTTAAACTAAGAGTCTTGTATGTAAACAAGAATGAGTTTCGTTGCATTATTGCCAAATATAAAATATTTTTGGCAATAATGTATAAAATATATATATTATATATATACAATTATATATAAAATATATATCTTCTGTATATTTTTCAGTGTTGATCCCGAGATTCTGGATGAGTCAACATTGGGCGAAATAATATATGCATTATTATAATATAACATTTATTGTAAACATTGTGTAATTATACACTGTGCGTAATAAAAAGTTTTGATTGTATATTAAGCCATTTGAACATTAAAATGTGAATATTGAAATATATGAAATACATATATTGAAATATATGAACATTTATTGTTCATATATTTCAACATATATTGAAATATTTGTACCTCCTGTTACCTCTCTTTGGCCGGAGAGGTAACAGGACAGGCTGTTGAGACATGGGACAGCCTGCCTCTCACGGATGGACGGAAGGATGTAGGCTGGACGCAAGGACGCAGGCTGGAAGCAAGGATATACGTTGCTTCCAGACCCAATCTAGACGTAACTTCCTGAAACAGTCTGGACTCGATTCTTCATGTGAATTACTGAAGGATACTGTTTGAAGCATACTGAAGCAGGCTGGACGGAACATACTGAGCAGGCCGGACGTGACATACTGAAGCAGGCTGGACGTTAAATACTGAAGCAGGCCGAGCGTAACATACTGAAGCAAGCTGGACATAACTTACTATAACAGGCAGGAATCTGGCTCGTACGTAAATTACTGAAGCAGGCTTGAAGTATTCTACTGGAGCAGGCTCGCCGTATCCTGCTGAAGCAGGCTCGCCGTATCCTGCTGAACCAGGCTCGCCGTATCCTGCTGAACCAGGCTCGCCGTATCCTGCTGAACCAGGCTCGCCGTATCCTGCTGAAGCAGGCTCGCCGTATCCTACTGGAGCAAGCTGGACGCATTTTACTGGAGCAGGCTGGACGCATTTTACTGGAGCAGGCTGGACGCATCTTACTGGAGCAGGCTGGACGCATCTTACTGGAGCAGGCTGGACGCATCTTACTGGAGCAGGCTGGACGCATCTTACTGGAGCTGGCTGGGCGCATCTTACTGGAGCAGGCTGGACGCAACTTACTGGAGCAGGCTGGACGCAACTTACTGGAGCAGGCTGGACGCATCTTACTGGAGCAGGCTGGACGCATCTTACCGAAGCGTGTTGGACGCATTTTACTGGAGCAGGCTGGATGCATCTTACTGGAGCAGGCTGGATGCATCTTACTGGAGCAGGCTGGATGCATCTTACTGGAGCAGGCTGGATGCATCTTACTGGAGCAGGCTGGATGCATCTTACTGGAGCAGGCTGGATGCATCTTACTGGAGCAGGCTGGATGCATCTTACTGGAGCAGGCTGGATGCATCTTACTGGAGCAGGCTGGATGCATCTTATTGAAGCAGGCTGAACGCATCTTACTGGAGCAGGCTGGATGCATCTTATTGAAGCAGGCTGAACGCATCTTATTGAAGCAGGCTGGACGCATTTTACTGAAGCTGGCTGGATGCATCTTATTGAAGCAGGCTGGACGCATTTTACTGAAGCTGGCTGGATGCATCTTATTGAAGCAGGCTGGATGCATTTTACTGAAGCAGGCTGGATGCATCTTACTGAAGCTGGCTGGATGCATCTTACTGAAGCAGGCTGGACGCATCTTACTGAATCAGGCAGGGTGACTACGACTGATTCAGGTTGGATGCATCTCACTGAAGTAGGCTGGATGTATCTTACTGCAGCAGGCCGGACGACTTCGATTGATGCAGGCCGGACGAATTCGACTGATGCAGGCTGGATGCATATTACTGAATCAGGCAGAACAACTATCACTGATTTAGGCTGGATGCATCTCACTGAAGAAGGCTGGATGCATCTCACTGAAGAAGGCTGGATGCATCTTACTAAAGCAGGCCGGACGACTTCGATTGATGCAGGCTGGACGAAATCGACTGATGCAGGCTGGATGACTACGACTGATGCAGGTCGCCCGCTAATCTGCCCGACCGTTGCTGGTGTAGACTGGCTGAAGTGGTCCATGATACACTTCCTTGTGAAGGAGAGTAAAGACCAATGAATCACAGGAAGAATTGTACAGGACTGAAGTAGGCAGATTATTATACAGGACTAAATTAGACAGACTGTAATATATCCGTGTCACCACACCTTACTGGTCACGTGAAAACGTTCTTAGAACACAAACACAGGAAATTGTAGAGAGCGCTTTTGTCCCATTAGAGGCTGCGGTTTATTTCCCCCAAACTCTTTAAATATATATATATATATATCCAGTCAGCTTCAGTTTTATATATGTATATATGTATATATATATATATATATATATATATATATATATATATATATATATATATATATATATATATATATATATATATATATATATATATATATATATATATATATATATATATATATATATGTGTGTGTGTATATCACGAAAATAAACACATGATTAAGAATGTGACAATGTCAGACCACGGAGGAAAAATGAAACAGGAATTTCCTTAAGTACTTTCGTATATTAAATACATCTTCAGAAGGTCAAATACATCTTCAGAAGTGTCTGACATTGTCATATATATATATATATATATATATATATATATATATATATATATATATATATATATATATATATATATATATATATATATATATATATATATATATATATATATATATATATATATATATATATATATATATATATATATATATATAT